CCCGCACCGAGATTATTCAAGCCATGAAAACTGTAAACTTGAAAAGACAATAAAAGAGATTCTATCCTTCCTTTTCTTTCTAAGTACCATAGACTACTATCATTTTCATCTCTCCATCCATTTTCAACCAGCTCTTACCTATCAGCAAGAATGAAGTTTGATTATAGGGTCTCCTTGCTTTCTCCAACACTGATATGAGAAGGGGAAAAAAATTATAATACGCTCCAGGAACTTGCAGTTTGTATCTTGTGCTATTCCTTGCTCAAAGTCTGAGGTAGTCACACTCCACTTGGTACCCAGCCCCAAGGTCTGAAAGATTCTATCAGTTATTCTCATCTTGAAAGTTAGTAACATGCACCAGTATCTTGGGGATTTTAGGACAAAGGCAAAGATCTTTAATACGGATATGGAGAGAAACTTCTCGTTAATACACAGACAGAGTAAAAATATCTTTTTCATTTCTATCTTTTCTGAAGCAGCTTAACCTTTCGGTATCATTTTCTAATCACATGTAGAATATCCCTCAGAAACCTTCAAGCCTTCTGACCTTATTTCTAGTAATACATTTTCATCATTGTTGAAGAATGGTCCTTAGGCTACAAACTCATATATAGCAGCTCATACGCCAGTAAATTAAACACCGGCGGAGTTTCTTCTCTGGAATTGCAATCAACTTGCAGCTCTGGCCAAGTTCCCCCCATTATCTCCCAGACTCCAAAACAAGGTGGTTCTATCAAATATGTCTCCTAGAAGTCCTCATTGGTCCATGCAGACTCCTGAATCATGACTAAAAAATGTTGGAGAGAGGTTCAATTAATCGGTTCGAAACTGTGCCAGGTACCAAGCCATTAATATGAGCAGGAGAGTTGCAGCACCAAAATTTGTGCCCTAGCACTGTTTAGTTTATTAGTGCAGACATAGCTTCAGTGCCCACATAAATGAGTATCCAAGTCTCGGATTCCTTGATAATGTTGCAAACTCAGACTAACTTCCAGGGGCAATATGGATCCCCTCTATCTTCTCAGAAAGAAGTCACCAGCTCCCATTGATATCTTTCAATAACCATGGATTAATTTAGGTAAGAAGAGACCTCTGAAGGCCCCTGGTCTGAGTCCCCACTCAGTGAAAGGTCTATTTCAACACAAGATCCAGTTTAGCATGCTGTGGTGAACCTGGACTTCTAGGTCCAGCTCTTCCATCTACAATGCTAATTGAACATATCTTTCCATGGCAAGTTTCTTAACTTGGTGGATGGCAACCTGGTGTTGCTCCTCTGCCCTCCAGTTCCTTCCCAGTGCTCTTTCATGCACTACCACCGAGCTTCACCAGCCCCACATGGCACCTTTTACCTGCCCACATGCCTTTATTATCCAAAGTTGATAACCCTGAATCCTATAGGGAGCATTTCAAAGGACCAGGCACCCTTGGACCTACCAGCCCTGTTAATTTACCTTTAAGAATCAGGATTTATATTTTTTTTAATAGATATATTTGTATATCAGGAAAGACTCCCCTCTCCAAAGGGCCTTAGCGATTGCAAAGGGTATCTGAGGTGGCTAGCTGCACCCAAGAGGGTAGATAGCTGCATCCAAACCTGGTAAGTAAGGGGATAGTTAAAACAGACAGATTTACCTACCCTAGAGCTCCTCCTGGTGTCTTGTCATGGGAGGTAGAGTATTCGCAGTCCTCACAGATGTAAAGACAGGGAAAACAGGAACAAGGACTTACCAGCTGGAAATGGCTCCGTGGAGTCGCCCTTACCAAATGCCCTCACTGCTCTCGCCCGTGACCTGCTAAGCCCACCAGCCTCCAAAAGCCAAGGCGTTTCTGGGAGAGAAAGGCTCTTCGGATGCTATAACTCTCCTTGTTATGGTCCAGATAAATTATGTACAGGAAACAGATTAAACAAAACATGGTGTTTAAGAATTCATGATAACTCCTAAGTATTGCTAGTAGTCAAACCTACTTGGTAGCTATTATCCAAGTGATTATCCAGGTGAACACCAAAATTTTCATCCCAGGCCGTTTCTCCCTTCCCAGAAAACATGGACTTGTTTCCTTCATGTGATTGAGAGTTCTGCTAGAATGTTAAAAGTTAAATCAGTGCAGCTTTTGTTTGTTTGTTTTTCAATAACACACTTTTCCACAGTAAAATCATAGATCAAAAGGCAGTGAACTACAAACAATGGTTCAGCTCCAGATCCAACCATGCCAGTGAAAGAGATTTTGCCACTTGCCACTCCTGTCACAGGAGTTCTCCTTCCACCAACCCACTCCTTGAGTGGTTTTGCAAGAGCAAGCTTCTGCATGGCCACATTTTCCCAATTTAATGGTTTAAATGAGCCCATAGGACTTTGCACATAACTTGCACTGAAGCTGATGCCAAGGGAAAGGAGTTGTTCATGTCCTCCACAGGACTAAGCAGCTGCCCAAGGGTTTGTATTGCATGATAGGGTTTGGTTTCATACAGCACACTCTATCTGCAGAGACAAAGGAAAGGATCAGTGCAAAGCAACTGCCTGAGCACCTCATGGTAATAAAGAACACCCCTCCCAGTCCTGGCACTGAGTACACTTTTAAGAACTGAGTAGTTAAAAAGAGAGAAAATATCCTAGGAAGAATGATGCTGGAGCAGGAACGTCTTTTATGCAGACTCATGGTGGTGATCACTCATGATCATGAGCCAAATGCATCCTGTCTTGCTACATAATTGGACCTACTATCCTCACCCTCACCCTGCACAAGGTATTCAGTAGCTAAAAGAACGCCCAGTGAGTGTATGTAATCTATGCACACACATAAATACATATATATATATATATTTCAGATTTACTAGTACAGGAAGCATCACTAAAAGACCTTTTCCTCATGTCATCTTTGCCGTTCAAACCACACAGAGAGCTGATGTGCTCTTTCTTCCTCCCCTTTATGATTTTTTAAATCTCTCTTAAACATAAATGGTTAATTAACTTTTCTCTAGAACTTTGACTTTTTTCATCCAGGTGGTTCTATAGCTAGAGTAACCTAGGGATAATAAACATTTTAATAAAACGTGTTTGGTTGTTCATTGCAGAGGATCAAAAAGATTTGACCAAGTTGTTCTGAAATTATGTATTTCCTCTTTCCACTTCCACCTTCTCTCATGTCAGTGATCCACATCTAACCAGTGCCTTCAGGAGACATAAACAACCAGAAATTGTGCCAGGGATCAACTCTACTTCAGGATGGAAGCCACCAGCTCAAGACAACAGCAGTAACAGACCTTTGGGACCTTTTGTAGCTGGCACCACTCCAGTTCAGCTCCTTTGGGCAACCTCAGCCTAGATAGACAAGGCTAATAGTAGATTTCTATTTGCATTTACTGAATTTATCTAGGACTGCAATTTTACTGCTGTGGTGGCACAGTTTAAAAATCCTACTCAAGCATGAATCAGTCTAAGAGAACACACCTAAGCTCTGCAGAAGATGCCCAGGTATGTTTGGCTCATTACTCCTGCCTGGAGAGCTTTGCAGCATGGAGCCCAAACTGTCATAAGTGTGATATATCCTGCAAGACATCAAAGAAGCTGCAAGACCACAATCCTTTAGCAGGTTAAGTCCTCTTGGTTGCAGACAACCAAATCTCATGCCCAGAAACAGGCACAAATTAAATTTAATAAAGCAATAAATCCTGGGAGAAACAGTATCTAGACAAGTTTTATTATTCAAGTAAATATTTATGGCATCACTGACACAGAAAAGCCTGGAGCAGATTCTTATGCAAGGGAAATGGGACATGTGAGTTATACTGACACCTTGACACAGGCAAGGACCACAGCAAACAGCCTGCACTGCTCAGAGCCCTCTCCAGAAGTTAACTTTAAATTCACAAGGAAAAAAAGAAAAACAAAAAACCCCATAACAATAAAAATAATCCCAACCTTTCAACAGCTCTGGCATCATGAGCAGCTGAGAGAGGTTCCACCATGCATTCAGCTTTTTGAAAGCCACCTCTGGCCAGGGAAGTTTTTAGTTTCTAGTAAGAGGTTTTTCCTCAAAGAACTGGTCATCTACATATTCCAAAAGTAAGACCATTAAACATATCCTCCAAGAGTCGGGAAGAGATTTTATAGTCTCAGTAGGTTACCTTCTAGATGAATACAAGGAAACATGTGGTGATTTAGCCAGGATCTGCAAGTGATTTAAGAGCCCAGGTCCTAATAGCATTCACAGACCAGGAGTACTTCTTAAAAACTTGACCCTTTGCTTCAAAAAGTTTCCCATTTGTGGTGGGTCCTCTTATATTCATACAGGAGAGGCTTCAAACTACAGAACCCAGGAAGAGGTTCAGAGTATTTAACAAGAAAAACACCACAAACACCTAAATAAGCCCTGCCTTGCAATTGCCATAAAAGACCGGACCCCTATTCTGAATGTCTCATATCCCACCTTGTCAGGGCGGAGACTCCCAACAGAGTTGTAAAAATCCATAAATTAAGCTGATCCATCGGAGCAAAGCAGGTTGGAATGTACTTGTCCCTCAGTTGTTGCATCAACAGAAACTGTTCTCTATGAGCCAGTTAGGAAACCAGTGCTGAAGAGACTGGATGTCACAACTAAGAAGGCACAGGCATTGAAGGTCCAATATCACTTTTTTACCACCACTGCTTTTGAGCATTGGATTCCTAAATCCTTTTTATTCAAAGGCCAAAACCACTATCACCAGCTGGTGAGCTTGTGCATGGTTACAGTAAGAGAAAAAAAAAAAAAAAAGGCTTGTTTTACACACTGATACAAAAGTGGGAAGGAAACAGACTATTTCCAGTGTGATAAGTCTCCATTCAACAAGAAAATATAGATTTATATGGGTGGGAGCCTGCAGACAGGATCCCTGCATTAAAATCAGAAAACCTCAAGTAAAATCAGGTTGACTTCTTGAGCTTGTGTATGACCAAGACCAAAGCTAAAAACAATACATTAAGATTAATAATTTGCATGAAAAGGTTTCTTTTCAGCTACTTGTAAAAATAAACATCTCCTAAAGTACTCCATATTGAAGGCAGTGATGCTAAGAGAGCTTTCGGAGCTCCTGGCCTTTTTGGTGCCAGCAATGCACAGGAAGGACTGTAAAGTGCACAGACTCAAGCTCCCCAAAGTCCAGCTCAGCCAGACGAGGCATTCAGGAGAGGGATGAAGGAAAATACAAAGAGTCTCCAGATAGAGAAGTCCATGAGAATTTGGGCTCTTCTGTCTAGCAGCTCAGATTAAAAATATAATGTCATCAGACACCATGATCTGGTTGTCATCCTGCATATGGGATAGCGCTGCCTTCACTTCAGCTGACGAGAAGGGCTCAGGGTTGTCCCGGTTGATGGACTCCATCACACTCTTCAGGCCCACGGATTGGGCATGGGAAGCTTTGAAGACCTCCAGGAGGGCAGCCTTGAAAGCTTTCAACCTAGGCAGGCAAAGTGAGAAGTAATCCGCATCAGAGACTGAACACAAGTCCTTCTCTTTGTGTCCTGAAGCTGTTCAAGAAGCAGCACCCAGCAGGAGAGCCAAAACTGGAGCAGGCTGCACCTGGCGCCCAGCAATGGTGTGAACTAGTACCTCTGGTTAGGACCACGGAATGGCTACATGCACACAGCCCATCTCAACCCAAAGACACCAGCTCCAGGCCTGAACATCGCCCAGCAATGGGGTCAAGACAGCCCTGTCTCCATCCCTTGTGCAGGGAGAAAGCTTCAGCTGGAGCTCTGAGCTGGAGAACTGCACTGAGCTGAATAGTCACATACACACATCTCCCTAGCACCTTCTACTGACCATTAGCACCACCAGCTGTGGTATCCCTGACCCTTAAAGTTACGCATATGCACAAAGCAGCATCTCAGCCAACAGTTCAGGACGAGACCCACCAGCTGAACTCTAAGCAGCTTCGGGGTTGCAGTCACACTGCTGCAGGTAAAGAGGGGTCGGGCCTTCACACCACCATATGTTCTCCTGCCCTGCTGCCTCAGGAGAGGCTTGTCAGATGGTTCCTTATACCAAAGCCTTCCAAATCCAACCTGGTTATTTGATCATTTTACACAAACAAGAAGCATGTTATGTTTCAGCTTACAAAGGGAAAAAAAAGGATCTTGCTACATTACCTACATGAACATTATCTACCCCACATCCATATTTCCAATTGTACTACAACCCCTGCACATACTCATGCATAGACAAATTCCCTTTTTTCCTACTTTTGTAGCTCCCAACTTACCTTGCGTCAGTCAGCTCTGGTTTCTTTGCTTCGCCTGACGCCGCAGGTTCAGGAGTCTTGGGAGTGTGTGCCTGGACTGGAGCAGAAAGAGGAGAGTTACATTCACCCTGGCCAAAACGCAGATCCATGGCTTGACACAACCCTTTTCATACTGCAGTGCCAAGGTCTTGGCTGCACCGTTACAGACAGATGAGGCATGATGGGTTTCTGGCAGGATCTAAGCGGAGGCAGTCCATGCACTAGCTGAAGGAGGATGATAAGGCTGGAGCAGCACTGAAATTACAGATACTGCACCAGGCCAAGGACCCTGAGCAAACCCAGCGTGAGTTCACTTCTCATTGCAGTGCACAAGCCCAGAAGGCAGTAGCACCCACAAAGAGTTGTGTGCCAGTGGAATCCCAGGCACTTACCCTCTGGCATCTCCTCCTCGGCATCACTGAACGCGTAAGGGTCGTAGGAGCCTCCTTCGTCCCCGGCGCGTGCCTTCTTCCTCCTGGGCATTGGGAGAGGAAGACACTTCTTTGCACTGAACCACAAACCTCAGGAACAGTACAGAGTTCCTTGAAACATCAAGCTAGGACAACCTGCAGCTTGCGGGTGGACCCACCTGCCATAAACCCAGCCATAAACCTCCACACATAGCAGGGCTATGAGCATGTTTAGGTGTCTACCTACACTGTCACCACAAGTGTCAGGAGAGTCAGTCCTGCCCCTGCCAGCAGCCACTGCGCTGGCCAGAAGAGCCCGGTCACCTTTGTGCGATACCTTCCCTCCTCCTTGCTCAGGCTCCTACCTTCTCTTCCTGCTCTCTTCCTCGGGCTGCTGATCCTCCTCCTCCTTTTCAGTCTCCGAGTCGTCCTCTGCCTGCTTTTTGCGCTTCTTCTCTTTCTCCAGCACCTGCACAACAAAGGTAGGCAGGACTCAGCCGGCAGGTAGGATCCCTGCTCCCTCTGCCATCCCAGGGCATCACTCCTGCTTGCTCCCAGAGCAAATCTGCCTCTTTCCAACACTGCTTTGATGACTAAACAAGCCAAAGCATTTCAGTACTCTCCAAGAGGCCTGTCTACTCAACCTCACTGCAACCCAGCTCTCATGCTGGCACTGGAAAATGGCCCTGCTACACTAGCAACCCTGGGTGCTCAGCCTGCACAGGTTTCAGAGCCCAAACCTCCCCTTTCCATGATCTTTTCAGGACCCCACTTCTGCCAAGGGCTTCATCCCCCTTGCCATGCTCTGACCTTTTTGAAGTAGGCATATTGCACCAGCTCCACAGCTGCTTCCGCATCCTGAAGATCAACCGTCTTGTTCATCCTGGCCTTTGCATGGGCCGTGGAGAGGCGGATCAGGGTCTCCAGGGTACGGGCTGTGACTGGGGAGGTCTGCGGTGAACAGCAAGAAACCATTAGACATCGCGTCTTTATAGGGTCCACCAAGCCCAAGGACATCAGCACGTGGCCTTGTCCCACTTTGAAGCCCCAAAAGGTGTCTCATCCAGGGCAGGAAATACCCATAATGGGAGAGAAGAGCGTATAACTCAGTTTCTCTTCCCAGCATTAAAGGGGGAGAAGAAGCTGCTTTGGAAGAGCAGTGCCAGAGCTCACCCTGGCGATGTCGGAGTCCATCTGGTCCTGGCTGCGCAGGCGGGAGTATTCCTCGGCTATGTAGTTTGCCGACTCCTGGGTCAAGACGGGCTTAATGATCTTTGCTACGTGGATGTATTTCCTCATGAACTCCATGCTGACGATCTTCTCTCTGCAGGAGAAGCAAAAACACCCGTGTTCCCAAAAGGATAAGCTAAGGAAACCTGCAAAAATAGGGCTGCATACAGAAAGAGAGAAGGCGCTACCCAGGACAAGGGAAATTGAGCTCTAGGACATTCCCCAAGCTCTTGGTGGTGCCTGGCCTTAGGGAGCAGCTGCCACAGTGGACATGTTTGCATCCTGCCTACACATCTTCACATGGATCATCCACAGCATCGCTGCCCCCTGCTCTCAGCCACCACCTGGATGCCAGATTACATTTTTTTGATTCACTCCCTAGGCTGGAAACCCCCACAGAACCAGAGGAAAGAGGAACAACCAGGGCTGTTCCCTCCCTGTGGACAGAGGACTCACTTCCTTCGGTTGGGCCCATGCAGGAGGTCATCGTGTTTCTCATACACTTGGAGCTCCTGTTCCTCCTCCTGCACAAAGTCGGGGTCCTCTGTCGCCAGGATCTCCACGGCACTGCCCAGGGGCATGGCTGGGAAAACGAAGGGGTGGACATGATTTTAGCCTCTTGCAGTACCACAACAACAGTCTTATGTGAGCAGGCCCGAAGTCACATACTAAATAGCACTCAGCAAACCCATGTACCTTGGACCCAAAGAGTTAGTAACAGGGGCCACAAGGCTGGGAGCTTGGATAGGGAAGAAGGATAGAACCAAGCAGCAAGGTAGTTTCACTGCCTGGTTAAGAAGGGTCCATGTTGAGGACTTCCAGCACTGTGGTGATGCTCCCCTTCTCATGGAGAATGTAACACCACTTTCCCCAATGCTACCAGCTTCTGGAAAAGGGAGCAATGACATTCAGGTTGTGTCTCAACACAAAGAGCCCAACTTTCTGCTATCCCCACTGCCTCCACCACGGCCAGACAGGACAGAGACGGACAGTGGGCTACAGAGGGCAGATAGAGACTGACTCAGGGTCATGGCAGAGCAATATTCAGTGTCCCACAGGGAACAAGGGTCCAGTCCCTTCATGCCTGCAAGCAATAGGGAACCAACCACAGCCAGAGAGAGTCTGTAATTCTTGGGCTCCCTATCGCCCGCTCAAGGAGCAGGGAGTAACCCCGGCCACAGGACAGCCAAGGGCTCCCAGATGGTCAGAGTGACTCACCGTCCCCATCCTGCTCGTTGGGGTTGCGGTATCGGTGCATTCGCAGGACGTGGTCCGAGATCTCCCTGTCCTGCTCAGGGTCCATCTGGTCCAGGACGATGAAGAGCAGGTCAAAGCGGGAGAGCAGAGAGTCCTGCAGGCCGATGTTCTCCATGGGCGTCTTATACTGGTCGTACTGCAAGAGATTGAAACAGTGAGACCTTCAGGGGGTAACGCAGGCTGATAGGAGAGATGAGTGAACCTCCTTAGGCCAGGCCTTAAGGGATGGATGTACAGGTAGTCAGACACTGCCTGCAAACTCCATACTAAACACAGCCTGCTGCAGAAGTAAAGGCCTACTTCCCCCAACTCTGGAAGATGCCCACAGATGTTCTTATGTGCAAAGAACAAGAACTTGCAAAGAACAGCCCCTCTCACTCCTGGGACAATTCTGAAAACAGCAGCCACCAACCAGCCAGGGCTTTGTCCCAAACATCCCAGGCCCATTAGCTCAGTAAAAAATGAGTCACTAATTTGTGGGGGTATTTTTTTGACTTTTAACAGAGGTTAAGATAGCTCCTACCAGCCTTCCCTGCCGAAGGGACCCAGGGCCGCCAGCCCTCACCCACTCACCCGGCCGTAGACTGGGTTTGCCGCAGCCAGGACGCTGCAGCGGGAGTTGAGCCGCGCGTGGATGCCAGCCTTGGCGATGGTGACGCGGCCCTGCTCCATCACCTCGTGTATGGCCGTACGGTCGATGTCGGACATCTTGTCGAACTCGTCGATACACACCACGCCACGGTCAGCCAGCACCATGGCTCCTGCTTCCAGGCGCCGTTCTCCTGCAGAAGGAAGGTGGCAACGGTCACCCAGCATCCCAGCAAGTCACCATCCCCATCACCTACTGCATCATCCCTCCAACTAGGCTAAGTCTCAAATAGTAGCAATTATTTTGGCTCAGGCTTGTCCATCTCCTACTCTCCTTGAGGTTGGAAGGACATTAAGGAAGAGGAACTGACCTACAAAGAAGAGGATGAGAAGCTGTCAGCCATGTCCCAAAGAGGGTAAAATTCATAGGGAAGACCATCATGTAACAGAAGCAAAAAATCTATCCCTAAACTCTTATCATTGCCATAAGGGTTCTTTTCAAAGCAAGGCCTACGAGCAGGACAAAGAACAATCCTGGACCTTGTAGACACCCTGGTGTCAATTCAGCATCGGGCAGCAAGCCGCTGCCAGCTCTCACAGAAGCCATCTCACTCCTCACCAGTTTCTTGGTCCGTGGTGACAGCAGCAGTCAGACCAACACCTGAGGAGCCTCTGCCAGTGGTGGGGATGGCCCGGGGTGCAGTGCAGAGCACATACCGCAGCAGCTGAGATTTGGCAACCGAAGGGTCTCCTGAAATGGAAAAAAAAGACTGCATTAAATGGGGCTGACTGCAAAAGCAAGCAGTTTTGCAGGACGAGATACAGCTCTAGCTCTTTTAGCTAGGTAGCAGCTACAGGTGGGCAGTAAGTTGAACATCAGCCTGGCAGTAGAGCAGGCCAGTAGCATCCTGGGCAGACTAAGCAGCTAACAGGATGAGGGAAAGGATCTTTGCCTTCCATCTGGCAACTATAAGACCACACTACCTGGACCCCATGTCCATTGTTTGGGGCTCCCCAGTGAGAAGGGAGGCAGTAAGGGAAAGAAAAAAAAATGGGGCAGGGAGGAGGAGACATTTTATAGCTTTTAGAAGAAAAAGTGAACAAAAAATCTCCTTGCCTTCCCCAACTAACTGGAGAAAACAGAAAAGATAGAATCAAACTTCTCCAAGAGACACATGGTGACAGGACCATAACTCTGAACATAGTTGCCAGATCCCTCTCTAAGGGTGGCCAAAGAGAGGGAGAGTGTCTCAAAAAGCCTCTAGGATCCCATCCCCAGAGACAATCAAAAGTCACTGGACAAGCCCCAGAACAACCAGACCTACCTTGGCTCTGCTCTGCATACAGCATGAGGCTATAGGCATCCTGAGGTCTAATCTCAGTTATTCTATGAAATCAGACCTGCTTTAATTTTCCTGGTCTATTCATCTCACATCCCCTTAGACCCAACCTAGGGTTCCCCAGCATCTCCAGACCTATCAGCAAGATGTTGATGTCTCCTCGGATGCGGCTCCCGTTCTCCAGGACTTTCTCCACCCCTCCAAGCAGCATACAGAGAATGGCCTTCTTGATGTACTCATGCCCATGGATACTGGGAGCCAGGGATTTTGCCAGCTGGTCAAAGATATCCTAAGGCAGAAGAGGCAAAGCACAGCCCATGAGACAGACAGCAACAAATAAGGACAAGAAGCAATTCTTTACAACTCAGTGTGAGCACATCCATGCAAGAAAAGAGCTTATTCCTATCATAGAACCATATCAGCGAAAGTTATTTACATAACAGAAGACATGGAGTCATTTTATCTTTCTTTAGACATCATGTCCATGGATCTAATGGCCTACACCCCATCACCCTAGCAAGCACTGCAGGCAGGAAACCCAGTAAGTTGAAAGCAACTCCCTCTCCAAAATACAAAGCAAAGACTAGATCACAGGATCAGCCTCTACTACCCTCCTTATCCCTTCTTGGCCCAGGACTTGTGATTTTGCTAGGTTTTCTTTCAGAACATTGCTGATCCACACTGTGGATTCTTGATTTTGAGGAGTAAGTAGGAAGAGTAATCTATTCTTGATTTTGAGGAATAAGAGAGAAAGATATTTATTCTACAGCAACTACCTAGCAGATTCAGGAAACAGATCCATCTTGACAACTATGCACAGAGCTGCCAACACTCAGGAAGCTCTTTCATTATTACAGAAACAGCCAAACCAAGCCAAAACAAAGAAAAAGAATCCCTCCCCCCCTCAAATTTGTTGAAAGTGTGAGCAAAATGCAAAAGACCCAGTAACATTGCTAAGAGGAGTGAAGAGTTTACTCAAAGCCTACCCGAGAACGAGACTCTCTATTAACCACATGCCAAAGCTTTAAAATTGCTATAGCCGAAACATCATGCCTGGGCACAAGACTGCCTAGAAGACAGGCTCATAAGTAAGATTTAAATACCTTGGAGCGACTCTTACTGAATTTCTTGATCTTGGCCACATCAGCAGCAGAATAGAGAGGCCGAACATCCTTGCTCATCTGTTTCACGTTACAGGCAATGAGGATAGTCCTAAAGAAGAAACACAGCTATGGTCACGTCTGCAAACCACACAGAGGCCTACAGGTCACAGAGGTTTTTGAAATTATTGAGTCTAATTGGACTACTCAGGGAACAAAGCATCTTTAGGAGGGTCCAAACACCTCTGCACAGAACTGGACTTTACAACTCAATACTGATGCTCAAGAGGCAGCAACAAGACCAGCTCTGTGATTGCTACCTACTTGCCCTATCAATCACACATGCCAACGTGACTCTACTGAAAAAGATAAGCAGCCTGGAGCTGTCTTTCAAGCCAGAAGGAGACTCACCTGAACGTCCCTGAAGTGTAACCCCCTTTCTTTCCTGGTAGGCAGCGGTATGTCCCGACCACCTGGATGCGGTCCCCAGGCTTTACTTTGTCCACTAGGTCATCATCTAGGATGACATCCACAGAGCGTGGAAGCTGCCCTGCTGGTGCCTTCTCGGGCATCTCCTGGATGGTGATGCTCTGATGATCCTTGTAGACTGAGAGACCAAACTCAGTCTCCAAGGGGTTATTCTCTTCATCCTAAAGGAGGAACAGCCATAATAAGAACAGCAACATTTTTGGGAACACTGGAGAACAGGTCAGTTGAGCAGTGAGAAGACTGGCTGCACCATGCAAAATGCATTAAACCACTGAAAAGGGTTGAAAGGGTTGTTTAATCAAGTCTGCTAGAGCCTGGGTGTCACCAGCTCCACCATTAGCACCCAACACTGCTAGTACACTGTCTCTCCAAAGCCTGTTGCTAATGTAATAACATCACCCATGCAGAAGACCATATGAGCAAGGAGGGCATGGGGAGCAACTGGTCTGTATCTGGGAGTGGGAGAAGGTTCACCTAAGGGTGTCTACATCCTCCAGGAGAGCACAGACATGAGGCATCAGCAGAAAGGGAAGTGTCTGCAACCCCCAAAGAAAAACAGCTAAGCATCTCACAGCTGAATCAATATTATAACTAACATGCGAACTTCCCAAACAAATGCTGTTCCGATGACTATATGTCTAAAAGAGACTTTTTTTAAAACGCTCTTAGCAGCTGTCTGGCTCTGTCACATCACGCATTTTTTTCTCTACTCATGGACTGTGTAAGCAGAGTGATGAGATCGACAGGGATTTGAGACCCTGAGCTTATAGACAGCATGTTCTCCCCAGATGGTCTTGCTGATACGTCCTACTAGGCCACTTCAACGCACCTTTGTAGGGTAGACAGAGCTGGATGGGAAAGCATCCAGAGAAGTCATGTCTGTATATCGACGCTCAATAGTTTTCTTAGTAGCTGGGCAATAATGGACACTCCGGACAACCTTTGGACGAACCAGAGAACCTGAATTTGGAAGCAAAGAAAAAAAGAGTTGAGGAAAAACAACTCCTATCCAATAAGATTTTCACTTGGGACATGTACTGATAGACTTTGACAGACTCCTGGATGAATTTGAGCCCCACTGCAGCAAATACCTCAACCCTCCACCCTGCATCATAGCTACACCCCAGGCACCCAGTTCTTCCCCCGTCAAACGCCCACACTCACACTTGGTCACGATGCCCTCCACACAGACGACACAGCTAAGGAAACAGGCGGTCAGCGTCCGGGGAGACACGTGCTTGGAACCAAAGCTGCCCTCGAGCCCAATGTAAAAGTCCTCGTATTGCTTGGCGTAGGTGGCATCAACAGAGGCAACAAAATCCTTCAGAGCGCGCTGGAAGGCCGTCAGCTCCTCAAAGGCGTTGCTCAAAAGCCTGAAACGGAGAGAGATGATGATGCAGTCAGATCAGCACCACGGAGCAGGTGCTACTGGCATAAGAGCAACCTCAAAAGTCAATTTTTTCCCAGGCCTCCCCACACTCTGAAGTGTCACCAGGAAGGTGAGGAGAAGGCCCAAAACAAACGAACAACAACAACAAAAGAAAAACAATAACAAAAAAAGCCTATCAGCTCAACTCCCACTAACAGCAAGAGGCAGACTCAACCCTACCATATCTGCAAAATTGCACATTTTTTCCTAAATTAACTCAAAAGCCTGATCCAAAATAGTATTAGCATCCTAAATGAGACATTTCATATCATGCAAGCAGGCCCTAGATTGCTGCAGAACTAACAGCTTTTACCAAATCAAGGATTTTCGAGCTTTGGAAGGGATGTCAAGGGGAAAGGATAATGCCCATCTTTACAAGGAAAAAAGTGTTGCTGTGGTCCAAGGAAGGCCCTTTCTTGCCAAGTGAGATATATAGAAAATAGGTTAAACTTTTAAATCTGCCTGGTGCCAGAGATGTACCCCAGCACCCCACTCAGCACCCGTGCGAGCGCATTGCTCCCTAACCTGCTGGCTCTCCTCTCGTTTTTCCTCCGCAGGTCATTGATGTTGACAAGGAGCCGGTACTGGTTGTCACTGATCATGTCCCGGACTTTGCTGTGGTAGATCCCTTGATCTTCCTGCAGAAAACAAACAAACAAAAATGTTACTAATGCTGCCCAAAGGGAGGACTTCTGCAAAGCGCCCCTTGCATGAAGCATTTTAAAATAAGCTGGTGTCGATGGGGGTCCCTTGAGGGCTCCGCAAAGCAGCCTGGGCGCTCCTCCCGCATCACACCGAAAACGGGTATTTCACCCTCCGTGCAACCCCCGCTCCGATGCAGCCCCCCTCTCACCTCATCGTCCAGGAAATCGAGGTAGTCGCGCTGCGCCTCTCGCAGCTCCGCGTCCTCCAGCGCGCCCGCGGGGGCCGCCATGCTCCGCTCCGCACCGAGGGGCCGGGAGGAAGAGGAGGAAGAGGAGGAAGAGGAGGAAGAGGAGGAAGAGGAGGAAGAGGAGGAAGAGGAGGGCGCACGGCCCGCGCTAGATAAGTGCCCGGGCAGCAGAGCTCGCTCCGCAGCCGCGCGGGACCCGCTGCCGACCGCGCACGCTCCGCCCTTGGCGCCCAAACCGCGCTTTTCCCCCACCAAAGCGCGGCACGGCGGGCGGCGC